GTCCTTACTCCTAAAATGTGACCTTTTGAGAGTCCCATTGAATATCCACATATTCCACATCCTTGTCACTTTGGGCTTGAACTCCAACATGTTTCAACACTGAGCAAAACCTGTTTAACTCTCAGGTCTTCAGCAGTTATTCTGTGATAGACCTTGCAGAGTCCTACACTGTATTCACAGAACCCACAGCCCAGCCTTTTTTTGGCCAAAGATTCAAGAAGAATTCTCAAATTTCCATGTAAAATCCTTTAATTTAATTTTTTGTTTTTGTTTTTGTTTTGAGGCAGGATCTTACTAACATAGTCCAGGCTGGCCCAACTTCGGGCAATCTTCCTGCCTTAGCATTCTGAGTGCTGATTACAAGAATATATGACACACATCTAATTTAATTCATATATGGTATGTGTATCACATATAACACACCTAATTTTTTATATACTCTTTATATACTCTTTTTTTATACTCTTTATATACTATTTTGGTTTTTATCCTAAACATGATTTTCATGCCAATCATATTCATAATCTCATGTGAGTAGAATGTATGCTGATGTTCAGAAATAATTTTTCTTCCAGAGTTTCTTACCATATAAACTCTCTAGGCTGGCAGCTCTGCGGGGACTATGTGCTGGGCTTCCTCTGGCTTGACTTTGCTCATCTGTCTGGAATGTTTTCTTTTCTCCATTTCCATCTCCATCTTCTCAGGCTCATCTCTTTCTGAATCTTTGCTGACCCAAACCAGATGTGAGCACTTCTTTCTTTGTATTCCACAAGGTATCTTGCTATCATTCCTTCTGATACTTGCCTCACTGAGTGGGCCTTGTATCTTCATTGTCTACCACAGTCCCTGGCACATATTTCATACTGAATTAAAAAGATTAAACATGGGTCAAGGAATAATTACTCGAATGGTAAAAGGAGCAGATTTTGATTTAGTGAGGATTTAATTTAATTTAATTTTTTGGTAAGGGGATCGAACTTGGGACCTTGTGTTTTCGAGGCAGGCGGTGGGACCACTGAGCTAAATCCCTAGCCCTATTTTAATTTTTGAGATAGGGTCTCCCTATGTAGTTTAGGCTGGTCCCGAACTCACTATGTAGCCCAGGCTGGCCTCAAACTTGCAACAATCCTACTGTCTCAGTATTCTGAGTGCTGAGATTACAGTCATGTACCACCATGCCCAGCCATTTCTTTTTTGTTAATATTTTCATATGAAGTCTGGCTACGGTGTCCAGGCTAGTCTCAAGCTCCTAAAATCAAGACATCCACTCATCTCAGCCTCCCCAGTGCTGGTACTACAGACTCACACCATCATGCTTGGCTCTACTTTCATTTTTTCTTTTTGCATCTAAGAGACTACATATTTGTAAGGTGAGATAGTCTTCATTGTGCCCTACATGTATATATTCTTCAGAATCCACTTTCCAAAAGTAAAACATTTATCATTCAATAAAAAATGTCATATACTTTTTTTTTTTTTTGGTACCAGGAACCTTGTGCTTGCCAGGCAGGCGGCTGTACCACTGAGCTAAATCCCCAGCCCCCAATAAAGGATGTCAATAACCGTCCTTCATCTCCTTCACTGGGGGCTTCCCATTCTCTACTGATACAGTATCCTGGCATTTTGATCTGTTTAGAAATTAGGCTTTAAAAAGGTAGGTTTGAAAGGAACTGGGGGTGTAACTCAGTGATACAGCACTTGCTTGGAAAGTGCAAAACCCTGAATTCAATCCCTAGTACTAAAGAAAAAAAAAGTAATATGGGTTACCCAGGTGTTTAGCTCTAAATTACTAAGGTTCCCCTAATAAGGTATACTCATTTAGAAAAAAAATTTCTGCTTCTTAAAAACAATTTTTTTTTCTGATTTAAAAAAAAACAAACAGGGCCGGAGATTTAGCTCAGTGGTTCTGGCGCCTGCCTCACAAGCGCAAGGTCCCGAGTTCGATCCCCGGTACCAAAAAAAAAATTAAAAAAACCCAAACCTTCAGTTGGGTGTGGTGGTGCACATCTGTAATCCCAGCACTGTGTGGGGGAAGGTGGAGCTGAGGCAGGGGGACCCCGAGCTTGAGGCCAGCCTGGGATATATAGTGACCTTGTCTTAAAAATAAAACAAAACAAAACAAAAGAAATTACCTCCATATATTTGACAAATATCTTGCAGGAGCCTGTTGTAGCTGCCCCAGTGCTGAGGAAGTAGATACATACTTCTTCCTCATGGGCTCATGGTTTAACGGAAATCAGACATATAAACTGTATGATTGTGCTTAGATAAGTCAAGAATTTGTGTTTAGGGAATCTTAAGTATCAGCTCCTACCTATCTTGACTACCAAGGAATGCTTTTCAGAGACTGTATGGTTGAGGAAGAGTTAGCTAGATCCCAGTGGTGGAAGGTCAGGGCTAGAGAAATGTATGTTGGTGTAAAAAATAAATGCTAGAGAAAACCTGGGCATTTGAAGAAATGCAATTATTTTAGAATGGTTGGGGTGTCCTCATAATAGATGAGGCTTGAATATCTTTCCTTTATTTACTTATTTTTTAGGAGTACAATGCTAAGGTGCCAGTGATTTAACCATATGGCAAAACAGGATTTCCTCAGATGCAGCTGATACTGGCCCCAGCAATGGCTCTAAAGAACTGGGCTTATGAGCCTGCCTAGCCTTGACTTTCCAACATGGATAGATACTTCTCAAGGGCTAGAACCTGATTCATTCTCTACTCTGTCCCCAGTGCAAGGTAGCATTGAGAGCTCAGTAAATAACTGTGAAAGGAACAGGATGGCCACTCAGGACCCTGGCAGACTATTTAAGGTTTGAGGCCCCCAAGGTGGATCCTGGGGTATCTCTGGGCAATGTAGTGGTTAACTTAGCTGAAGGCCTCCTATAATTGATTTGCTAAGGAGAACCTACACCCAAAGCAGTGCTGCCTTGAAGTTGTCAGCAAACCAATTCCTTAAGCACCCCACATTATGAAAGAGCTGCTGATTTGATTTTATCTGTCTTTAAAACCAATCTTTGATACTGCTCCATTCTAGCTGGACTTCCTTTCCTCTTCTTCCCTCCTCTATTACTAATGGTGTGGGATCTAATTACCTCATTATCCTTAATTTATTTATGAAAAGACTGAAGTTAAGGAAAAGAAGGAAAGCCCTGGGCTCTTTGGGGACCTTCTTTAAAAGCTTTCCTTTTCCTTTCTCCTCCCTTATGCCCAATAAAACTTCCCCTTTCTGTTTCTGGAAAGTTGGTATAGTTCTTATTTATAAATTTAAATAAATAAACTTCCCTCTCAGGGCTGGGTGGAAACCAGCTGTATGCATGAAGCCTGCCCAGTCCGCTCCCAATGGATTAATCAATCTATCAACAAGAACTCATTGATGCAGAAGCAAGCAGCTTTCAAAACCAGCACACAGCTCCTGGACTTGCTGCCTTCCACTTCACAAGCCACTTGGGGAATAAGTAGCTTTTGAAATTTATAATTTTATTATTACATAAGTAATGTATATTCATCTTGTAAAAAATTCAAATATAGAAACATATGAGAAAAAGATGAAAGGTTTCTTCCCCTTTCCTTCCATTTAATTCCACTGTTAAGAGCTGGGGATGTATTCTTTTTAAACATTTTTTAAAATTTTAATTTTATTGGTACAATTTAGATATACATAATGATTGCATTCATCATAGGGAATTTGTACCTGTACATGATGTATCTTGATTCCCCTTTTTACTGGGCGTATCCTTTTAGACCTTTCAACTACGCACTTTCTGGGTTAGGGGTGTAATTCAGAGGCAGAGTGCTTGCCTGGCATGCAGGAGGTTCTGGGTTTGATCCTCAGCAGGCAAAACAAAAACAAAACCCAATGCAATTTCATAAACCTACACCTCTATAAATGCACTTATAAAAACTAACAAATGATATCACTACATAACGGCTATTCTGAGCCAGGCGAGGATAGAGCACACTTGTAATCCCAGAATTAAGGAGGTTGAGGCAGGAGCATTACTGCAAATTTGAAGCCAGCCCGGGTTACATAGTGAGTTCAACGGCAGAATGAAATATGTAGTGAGACCCTGCCTCAAAAAACTAAACACCAGGGCCGGGGATTTAGCTCAGTGGTTCCGGCGCCTGCCTCGAAAGCTTGAAGTCCCGAGTTCGATTCCCGATACAAAAACAAATAAATAAATAAATAAAATACATTTTAAAAAACTAAACACCAGCTGGGGATTTATCTCAGTGGTGCCGCCACCTGCCTCACAAGTGCAAGGTCCTGAGTTCGATCCCTGGTACCAAAAAAAAAAAAAAAAAACACAAAAACTAAACACACCCACAACATAGCTGCCATTTTGTAGCTATTATGGTTGTTGTCCATTTAACGTGGTCATCCTTCCAGTTAGACCACAGATGTACATTTCAACAGTTGTAATCATAATTTGCAGAACAGAGGTGCTATTATTTTATTTCTTTTGCTACTAGTGAGTGTTTAATATTACAAGTTACCGGTTCTCTAGAATTATTCATTCAATTATGCATTAGCTGTGGTTCACCATGTGCCCCATTATCTACTTGAGGGCCCGGGTAAACAAAACAAACACCTCAAACAGTTTTGAGTGATGGCATTCTCTATTTGGGAGACAGGGTTAAGATCGGTCTGTGCCAACTGAGGAGGACGAGGAGGCCTTTTGGGGTATCTTCCCAGCTGTAAAGATAGAAACCCCACGACGTGTAAGTGCCAACAAGATTTGGAGGGTGGGGACGTGAGTGCGCTTCTTAACCTGGGCCAGGGCCTGGGGTTGCAACACCAAGAGGCTCGCTTCAAGTACAACGCGGAGCCAGATAACCGCCGCAGGTCCGACAGGGCGGGGCCGAGCTGCGCGCGACCCTCGGCGCGCTCTGGGAGGCCGGTCCAGGGACAGCCTCTCTGGCCGCAGCTCCCGCGGGCTCTATGACACCGCACTGGCTCCCGGGACGGGGAGGGGCCCACTGAGTGGGTGGAGACTATTCTGGGCTGTACATCTCGTAGTGAACCTCTCGCGTCTCGCGAGAATCAGGAAGTACCGCGCCTGCGCACTGCCATAGTCCTTGGTGGCGGTGGCTTTCCCGGAGTGTGGTGTGTGAGAGGAGACAGCTAGTGTGGAGGCTACTGCGTACCCTGGGACTTGCCACCATGAGCAGCACTTTAGCAAAGATTGCGGAGATCGAAGCCGAGGTAATGGGCACAGTTGGCGCTTCACTCCCACCCCGGGCATCCCTTCGTCTGAAGTGTAACTCCTGTAATCCCTTCCCTTCAGTAGAGTCAAAACCTGGCCCGTTTCCCGACTGCCCTGTCAGGCCTCTGATCCTGATCACCTTCCTCTTCCGGGCTGGCTTTTCCCTGTTTCCCTCAACTCAGAGTCTCCTCCAAGCTCGCGTGCCCTTGTTCCTTGACTGCCTTCTGCCTAGCCCGTGTTCCGCTCCTTGGGCCCTTGGTCCGTAGTCCCTTTCCAGTGTTTGACTTTTGCACTGACAAGAGTTTCTCTGGGTTTTTTGTGGGGTTTTTTTGCACCGGGGATCGAACTCGGGACTTTGCACTTACGGGGCAGGCGGCGAAACCACTGAGCTAAATCCCCGGCCCTTCTGTTTTCTTTTTCTCTGACTGATTCTTATCCCATACTCTGATCCTAACCCAGTCACATATTTCAGGATAGAAATCTCTTAATTACTGCCCTTCCCACTCCCAAATCTTTGAGTACTCTAATAATTCCCATGTCCCCCCTGTTGCTTTCGGCAATAGGATTTGGAAGTAAATTGACATGTGTTTTGTTACCTTTTTTTTTTTTTTTGGTACCGGGGATCGAACTCAGGACATTCCGCTTGCGAGGCAGGCACGGTGCCACTGAGCTAAATCCCCGGCCCTGACGTGTGTTTTGGAAGTATTTGATTCCATCTGGATATTGCGTGACTGTTGCCTGAGGCGGGCAGACCTTTTTATTTTATGTAATTTTGTATTTTTCTTTCCTTTTTTGTAGTGGGAATTTAACCCACGGCTTTCACACTGAGCTCCATCAGCATCTCCATCTCCAGACCTTTTTTTAAAAAATTGAGATAGCATTTCATTAAGTCACTGTTTCCCGGGCTGGACTCAAACTTGCCCAGCGCGCCTCCCATAGCGCTGGGTTTACAGGTGTGTGCCATGACGGTGGTTTTTTGAGACAACGTCTCACTATGTAATTCTGCCAAATTCATTACTCTTCTGCCTCAGTCTTATGACTCCTGGCATTACAGGTGTGCACTACCATCTCTGGGTTGCTCAGAGCTTTTTTTTTTTGGTACCGGGGATCGAACTCGGGACCTTGTGCTTGCAAGTTGCAAGGCAGGAGGCAGAACCACTGAGCTAAATTCCCGGCCTGCTCAGAGCTTTTTGAAGCCAGAAAAATGGTGTCCCTGTTACAGATGGGCATACCACATACAAGCAGTGGAAAAAGAATTGGCAAATGGATTTTTTGTTTTTGGTACCGGGGATCGAACTCGGGACCTTGCATTCTCGAGGCAAGCGGTGGAACCACTGAGCTAAATCCCTGGCCCACAGCAAATGGATTTTAATCTGGTCTGTGGCTGCTAGTTGGAATGACCCTGATCTTGTCTTGTTTGGCCTCATTTGCTTCTTGTAGATGATGGAGAGAATGAATTTTTACTCTTTTTTAGATATTTAAGATAGATATACTGCCATTAGTAGGACCTAGAAAAAAACCATTCTCTTAGCTGCGGGAAACATTCTGGATATTTAACCTCGTGGGAATGGCTTCTGATTTATGGCTGCTATTCTTCTCTTGTAGATGGCACGGACTCAAAAGAACAAGGCCACGGCACATCACCTAGGGCTGCTTAAGGCTCGGCTTGCTAAGCTTCGTAGAGAACTCATTACACCAAAAGGTGGTGGTGGTGGTGGGCCAGGAGAAGGTTT